TTTTTTTGGCGATACGTGGGCCTCTCACTGCTGTGGCCTCTCCCGTTGCGGAGCACAGGCTCCGGACGCGCAGGCTCAGCAGCCATGGCTCACGGGCCCAGCCGCTCCGCGGCATGTGGGATCCTCCCGGACCGGGGCACGAACCCGTGTCCCCTGCATCGACAGGCGGACTCCCAACCACTGCGCCACCAGGGAAGCCCAAAATGTTATATCTTAAATCTTCCCCAACCATTTAAAAACGTAAAAACTGTTCTTTCCTGTTAGTTTACATATGCTGCTTTCCCACTACAGAGGGAGAGTCGGGTAGTCGGACAGAGACGGTGCGGCCTGCAAAGCCACCCAGCATTCCTTGCCTGGCCCTTCGGAACATGTTGGCCAGTGGATCCAGGCCAAGGGTTGGGGACCTGGCAGCCCCTCAGCAGCTTCCAGGGGGCCCCGTGGGGCTATCTGAAAGCCACGTGTCCAAACCAGGTCCCAGCAGACCAGACAGGCAGAGGGGAGAAGGGAGCCCCCCGAGGCTGGAGCTGTCAGCAGCTGAGCAGGTACACACCGTTAGGCAGGAACCGAATCTCGTTTTTGTAGAAACTCAGGTTGGGCATGTCACCACTGCCATCTCCTTCCACCAAATCCTGAGGAGCCAGAGAAAGGTGCCAGTCAGGACATCACCAAAAGAGGCTGCCTCCGAGGGCCCCTCCCACTAAAGCATTCCTGGGATGGGTGGGAGGGAGCAGGTATCTGCTCTTGGCCTGCGAACCTCCAGACTTCCTGAAGGCTGGTGAAAACCCCAAGTGCCCAGCCCGGGCCCCCCACCCTGAAGGTGAGGACGAGCCTCCACACTTGGGGGACGGCAGCCACCTCTGACCACCAGCAACGACCTTCCCCTCACCAACGTGGGCCCTTCATCGGCACCCCAAAGACAGCCCAGGGATCGCCTGAGACTCTTGGGTGCAGAGAGCCGGGGCTGAGGGAAAGGAGGCTGTGAGATGGGCTAGCGGCGCCGGGCCTCCTGTGGACGAGCTGCCGGTTGGCGCCGTCACGTTTTAAAGGTAAGGGCACTGAGATGGGAGTTAGGGCGCCGTGCTCTCACCCCATGATTAGGGGAAGAAGCAGCAGGCCCAGCTGGGGTGTCCGGCAGGACGTGGGACATTGTCTGAGAAGGGCTGGTGTGACACTGTCCAGCTGGCCTCCGGGAGGAGGATTTGGTCCTGGGTGGGCTGCAGGGGGCAAGGGCGCTGCAGGCAGCTACCTACCGGGTAGTGGTGCCGGTACCTGCGTGTGTCCCGCGCTGCTCGCCAGTTTCGAGACCCTGTCACCTTGAGCTGGGAAGAGAGGAGACTGGATGAGACCCTCCCCCCAAGGAGACCCTCCCCACTCCTCAAGGCAGCCAGCAAGCAGGACCCACCCCACGGAGCCCCCATCCTGGTGACGGCAGCAAGGACCTGGGCTAGCTGTCAGCAAAATCAGAGGGGTGGGAGTAGCTGGAGTGAGGCTGGCCCCCTGCTGCTCCCTCCAGCCCTCAGGAGCCCCAGGCCAATGTGAATTCTTGGGGTGGAGCCCCCCTAACTCTAGCTTCACTTTCTCCTCCCATGTTTGCTGGCTACCCTGCTTGGATCACACCCCAGGACCTCGCCCTGGGAACCCCGCCTTTCCCAGCACTTCCTCCTTGCACTGTGCTCTAAGTTGTCACCTAAGGGGCTGTGTCCCTAAGGGCAGTGGCCTTGCCAGGAGGGGCCCCAGATGCTTCCCATGGTGGGCTTCTTAGCCAGATGCCAGTGTGGCCAATGGACAGCGGATGAAACTGAAACTCAGCAGAAGCTGGCCCCGCCCCTCCATCAGTTTCCATTTGTCTGCCCATGGAGCTATGGTAGTGACAGTGTCCTCTCACCTACGCTGCACCATGCCCGGTGGGCATCTGCCTGGGGAAAGAGCCAGATTCCTGCCCTGTGACTCCTGTGACCTGTGACCCTGACCACTGCCCAGCCTACCTCCCTGAAACACTAGAGAAGTGCCGAGGCCGCCGGCCTTCCAGCCAGGCCCAGGAGCCCCTTGGGGTCCCTCTCGCTGACTGACCAGGTCCAAGACACACAGAGAAACCTGAAAACCAGAGCTCTCGTCTGCCACAGGGAGAATCCATCCCCGATACCACACAGGCTGGAATTCAAGACTCCCTAGACCTGGTGCCAGGACGCCCTCATCCCAAAGTGAGGGGGACACATGGTGACAGCTACCACTTGGGGCCTTCCCTCTTACCCAGAACCCCAACTGCACCCACTCCGGGAATGTGACACCCGGCGAGTGCTAGCAAGTAACCACTGGTAATGATGAATAACCATGGTTATGACAAGTAACCAGTGGTGACAACGAGTAACCGGTGGGCACAGCCGGCCACCCTGGCGCAGGCACACCACACACATGTAGCCTCTAAGGCCACCTCCAAGACGATGTGAGGTCAGCCCCAGCCAGAGTGGGTGGGTGCTGCGCCCAGTGAGGATCAGTGGGGGTGGGGCAGGCTGGGGGCTCTGGGGCCTGAGGGAAGCTGGAGTCCTGGACAGTAGGGCAGGGTGAGGTGACCCCCGAGGGGCGCCGGGTGGAGGAGGGAGCTCCAGGAGGCCGAGAGGAGCAGTGGAGGTGGCCAGCACTGAGGGCTGGGGCCTCTTTAGAGGAGAGAGCCAGGGCCTGAGGCTGGGGTAGGACAGAGAGGAATCCAGGATGTGCGGGGCCAGCCCCTTGAGGAGGTGTCCTTACGCAGATCTGGTCCTGGGGACAGGGGTCTGAGGGTGGCCCTGGATTCCCTGCAAGGTGCCCTGGTGCGGGGGCGGATCTCAGAGTGTCCTGGGGATCACGATGGGGGGAGGAGGACAGGGCCGGGAAGAGGGCAACCGCTGGAGATGGGGAGCCGGGCCCCAAGCCGGGTCTCCGGGAGGGGCCTCCACACTCGGTCCCGGGGTCGGGGGGGGCAACGGTTTTCCAGGAGCCGGGCCTTGCCCCCTATTCCAACGCGGCCTCCCCAGGGGCGCCGGGTCCCCAGCGCGCGGGGGCGGCACCTGGAACGCGCTGGGCCGCGCGTCCGCCTCGGCCTCCACGTCCCCCGGAGCGCCGGCCTCGCCATCCTCGTCGGCCCCGGTCCTCGGGCCCTCGCCGTCCTCCTCCTCGTCCTCCTCCCAGGTCGAGTCGCAGTCCGGGTCCTCCATACTCCGGCGGCGGCGGGACCCGCTCCGGCGGAAGCGAAAGTGATAGAGGGAGGAAGCGCGGGGGCGTGCCGAGGGGCGTGCCGGGGGGCGTGCCGGGGGCGGGCCCGGGGCTGCCGACTCCGTCCGCCCCGCCCGGAGGAGGCCCATCCCCAGGAGGACCTCTGAAGGATGATGTCCCCCTGGAGGAGGCCCATCACCCGGAGAAAGCTCCTCCGGAGGACGCTGGCCCCCTTCCCCCGTGAGGTTGCCCCCCACATGCCCACCTTGGTGATTTCTCCCTGGAGAGGCCCCCTGGAGGATGCTCCCCGAGGACACCCCCTCAGGATCCTCCCAGAATATCCCTTTCCCCTGGGAAAACGTCCCCCCCCCCCC